ATTCTTGAAAAATTGAAAGTAAAAATGTATAAAGTTAATAAAAGGGTGAGGGTAGATACGAGAGAATGGGTGTGGAGAGGAGGCAAGTTGCATGCATGAGCATGCAAAAACCATCCAAATGAGGGGAAGGAAAAGCACAATTTGCATACGGCTCGTGGCATTCATTTTCTCACTTTCTGTCACGTTAGTGTGAGGGAAATCCATTTAGCCGGCACGTCTAGTTGTGAGTGACACATTAGCCTCCAGACCCCTCCAGATATCACTGAATCCTTTCATTTTTCTACTTTACAGCTAGCTCCTTGTTTTTGGGATCCAGGACCCTACACTCAAATACCTGAAAATGCTCTCAAACTTTGATTGTTAAAGACACTTTTATTATAAAACATATCATTAGTCGAAATCAGTTTAATTATGGTATAAATATCAATATTTTAAAACTATATATGTGTTTAAGATTTCCAGTTTGTATTTTTACTTGAGTGTGATGAAAAAAGGTTGTTCTTTAATGGAAGTCACATTATAATCTATCTATACAATTACAAAAGTGTATTCTCACTTTTGATGAGCTAGTGCACTTTAGATTAAATACTTTAAAAACATTATTTAACAAAAATATGCAATTTTTTTTAAAAATATTGTTTGCTTAAAAATATGTTTTCTATTTTTTTAAACTCATATTTATTTATTATTCATTTAGTTTATACTATAAGCGTATTTTTGGTGTTCCTTTTTTTTCTAAAGTATTATTATTAATACAAAATATAAATTACGAATACATTTTATTAATTGTTTTAATGGCTTAAAAAATAATAAATAATATTCTTACTCTTTGAGTATATAATAATCAAACATTTCATAATTTATCACTATATATATTTATAGCTGAATAAAAAATAAAAGTATGAATACACTAGTATATATATTAACTAAGAAAAAAATATATGTCATTTTAAGAGAGAGATAGACACAAAATTTTATTTTTTTATTTAAAATTTAAATTAAAAAAAAATCCATCCACTTTCTCCTTCATAATTTTCATTCCTTATATCTATCTCTTTTTTAAAATGACATAACATATATCATTTAAAATAACAAATATCAACCCCATTGACTAATAGTAAGGCAGATAGTACGTATACGCGCTTTTGAGAGAGACACAAGAGCAATTATCTTTATAGAGTACTTCAAATTCTAAAGAGAGAAGAAACCCCCATAAAACACCGCGAATGAGATAAGATAAGGATGATGAAAAGAATAATGATCAAATGAAGAGGATTAGATAAGGATGAGTAGAAGAATAATGATCAAATGAAAGTATAAGTATAAAGTCAAAAATAAGTTGGCGAAGTGGGACAGCTGCGGCCTCCAGATTTTGAGGAAAATAACTATTCAAATGAGAGTGGATCTTTTTACGTGAAAAAATAATCATGTGATCATTTTTATTTGATCAGAATCATTTATTTAAAATGATACATTTTTTTCTCTTATTTCATCACCAATAAATGGTTATAATTAAATAACATGATTATATGATCATTTTTTCACGTGAGAGGATCCACTCCCCTATTCAAATACAACCTTACCAAACACTGCTCTGTGGGCGCCCTATGCATTTCTAATGACCCCAGCTGCGATGCCATTTCTAGAATACTATTCTACTTTTATTTATCATATTTTTTCTTTGTACGAGAAAATTGTAATATTATAACTGGAAGGAAAGAGATGTGATATTTGTAATCATATTATATTTATTCTTAATTCGAGTTTGGCCCTTAAAATAATTTATCTTCTTGTAAAAATTTATTATATGTTATTGATTCACCAAAGGGTAAGATATTGTAATTTATCCTATTTTATTCTCATTCCACCACTAAATGATCCTTTATTGTGTGTATAATTACAATTATATTCACTGGGGTTGTTTCTGAAAAAAAAAATCATTTTTCTATTTAGGAATGGGTTATGAGCAAAACAAATAAATTATTTATGAGTTTTTTTTTTTTTGTAATTACTGCATATAAGTTATTTGCAGTAAACTCAATACAACGTCGTTTTGGGACGAAAATCATGATATTTTTGTAATATTAATTAATTTTAAGGTTGTAATAGTCTTTATATTTATAATTTTTTAAGATTTCAATACCAAAGTGATATCGTTTTGAAAATAAATGCAGATAACAAATATTTTTCTCATTATTTATATGGGTATCAATTTGCTTTACCATTTAATCTACCCGATCCTTATTCATTATTAATTTATAGGAACTTATTTATAGTAATAAAAAAAAAACTAAAGCAAGAAAAGAAAACAATGACAGGTTGAAAAGAATCTTAGGACACATGGAGGAAAATGAGATGAGAGTGGAAAATGTGCCGTTCATGCACATAGGGAGGGTTCAGTGAGACAGGGCGCGTGGCAATTAACAATTAGGTTGGGATGTCAGAATGGCGGCCTTAAAAAAATGCAAATCTATTTGCCAATTTATTTGGAATATCATACCTACTTTTCCAATTTAGCTCCTGGTTTTTGGGAACTCTCTATAAACTTTCGATTTAGCTTACTTAATTAATTGTTCTTAAGTTGCTAATGCTGGTTTTCTACAAAACCAATGACTGGTTTCTGGTTTACATTCAGTCCTATGGGCGACCCTGCTATGAACAGTGTTTATGTGGTTCCCACCATGCAATTTTCCATTTAGGTTCATTGAATTGAATGCTTAAATTAATGGGAAAGCCTTGGTTAGTGATGATTACTCATTTAATTAGCCAAAATTGTTTAGACAATTCATAGTTGGAATGGACCAGTTGCTGACCAACTCCATGTTTAAATCCTATCTTCTCAACTTTATCGATGAGGCTAGAATCTTAAATCCTACAAACTTTCATGAAATTGTTGAATTGAAATGCATTCAGGTCAAATATTTTATTTTTCTGATTCCCTTGCTTTTAATTTATTAAGCTGAATCAATTATCATGATTGAGGTTTTTTATTTTTTATGAAGGCAATCTTATCGAGAATGGACACTGTTATAAATAAAATGCCAATTTTTTTTTCTTAAAATTAAGTGCAACTTACTTATTATCCCGTTTAATATTTGCTGGCATTAAAGCGGTTCAAATGTATGACTTTTTGTTTTATCTTATAACAAATTGAATATATAAACTTGTTACAATATTTTTCATTTAGTTTTTACAAAAGTATTATTTTTTTTATTTTCAATTATAAGTATTTTGAAATCTATAAATTATAATAAATATTTAGTAGCTCGTTAAGTTTTATAAAATTTACAGTACCTTATTTTTCGATACAGAATATTTACACTTACATTATATCTGATTTTTCCAATTTTAAGCAACAGTAAAGTGCCGTTTGGTTTCAAATGTTGTAACCTTCTTACAAAATCTTCTATCAGCTTCCTTTGGCTCAGGTACCATGTTTGCAAAATGCAAATCTTTGGTGGAGAAAGGTACATGAAGGCAGAGTTAACCATAATTCTATGTTAGTTTTGGTGAAATATTTGTGTTGATTTTGCAAGTGTAAGTTATGTTAGGCACCATAGAAATGCAGGCAACGACATATTACACCATGATCCCACAATGTGGGCTAAGTATTGCCATTGTGTTTGTGAATAAAAAATGTAATTTATTTTTGAAAATGTTGCTCGTGTTTTCCCTATGAAAATGTCACCTGTTATACATACATGTTTACATTTTTCTATTTCTACACTAATAATTTGAATTGATTACTTATAGTAGATTAAGCAAGATTTCACAAAATAATATTATCCATCATGCAATCATGATATCTGGAGAAGACAAAACGGTGAATAAATCAACTATTTTTTTCATTCATGTCAGGAAATGATAATAAAACTTTACAGTTATCAAATAATAATAATTTAATTAGTGCATGAGAGCTGAACAGGTGAAGGTGAAAGCATTCGATCATTCCAATATTATTTTGAGAAGAATTTAAAATTTTAATCATAGACTCGTCTCGAACAAGATTACCTATCATAAAAGATACTTGTGATTTATAAAAAAAAAAAAAAAAAGTCTATAGAGCGTATACCAAACCCATATATCATTATTTCAATCGATTAACATGACAAATGATTATTATTTGATAACAAATGATAATCATTTGTTATCAAAAAAAAAAAAAAAAAAAAACATGACAAATGACGTGGCCTAATCCTGATGCAACGAGCCCAACAAGCATTCACTGAGGATTAAATAACAACATGAATTCTTTATATCTCAACTCCTGTTATTGAATGGGAGGATTGAGATGCCTTGAAACAATAAAGAGCTCGAAAGTTTGAAGACAAGTGTAGGCAGTTTGAAGCTCTTTAGTTTAATAACCACTGGCATATCATTGAGGAAACAATGTTCATTCTTGTTAAAATGAGTGTACGTTAGTAAAACCCTCTTGAAAACTATCATAACTCTTATCCTAAAGTGTAATGGATAACATGTTTTAAAATAATTACAAAACATTTGTTGGTAATATTCAAGTGGTTTAGAAGATCATACATTTTATGCATAAAATCTTGAAGTAAAAATGGAACTCTAGCTTATAAAATTAATCTAGAGAAAGATTGTTATAGGGTTGTGTAAGATTTCCTCAAAGAAATGCCCAAATTTTAACTTTCCAAATAGAACAATCAATTTAATCATATTTGACTACGACAAAAAAATATATAAAAAAATTGTTTGTCATTTTAAATGATGTTAATTTTTAATCAAATTATATCATTTTAGTATATTTTTATATTCTCTCCCATTCACTTTTTTGTTGGTGCTAATTTCATAAAAAAAATACATTAAAATGACAAAATTTTATTTAAAATAATACAAAATTCTGTCATTTAAAATGATAAATAATTTTCTCAATGAATATAATATATACGTAAAATTTAATTAAATTAATTAAGACGAGCAGGCCCTAACTAAAACCTCAAAAAAAAAAAAAAAAAAATTGAGCACGTGTGGATGCATAGAAGAAACAAAACAAGTAGCAGCAAAGAACCCTAACCCTTAGGTCGATCGAAATTGGGAACTTGATTGGGCAGTGAAGAATGTCTGGGGTGAAGAGAGCAATGAGGCAATTTACGTTCGGAGCCGGCAAGACCGCCGGCCGGAACTCCTCGGGGCGCATAACGTCTTTCCACAGAGGCGGTGGCGCGAAGCGGTTGCAGCGAACCGTCGATCTCAAACGGAACACCGCTTCTTCAATGGGCGTCGTCGAAAGGATCGAGTACGACCCTAACCGTTCCTCTCGCATCGCACTCGTTCGCTGGGTCCACGGCATCAAGCCACCCCATGGCCGCACCTCCTCAGCCGCCGGTCCTTCTCCGCCGCCGCGCAGGGTTCTCGAACTCGATTCTGCGGCCGCCGCCGCAGCCAACATCCGGGGCGTGCTCGCATTCAATTCGATGCTCCCGCCCGTAGGAACAACCGCCAGAGATGTTTTCTTCTCTGCGTTTTCATCGAAGAGAAAGGGAGAAGGATCTGAATCACTTTCTTCACTGGGGTTGCCGAGGATCGCCGTGGCGGCGGCGAAGCCTCCGTTCTTCGCGCCGCGAGTGAGAGGGGAAGAAGCGTTGCAAATTCGGAATTGGAAAAGGAATAGTGATGTCTGGGCGCATAGGAACAAACGTAAAGCGGCGATTTCTTGGCACAGCATCGCACGTTGAGTTGAAAGCCAAGGATGGGTTCATGCCTTTCACTCTTGTAGTTTACTTTCTTCTCTCTTTTTTTTTTTATTTGGCAGCTTAATTGTTGGCTGATTTTTACTTGGGGTTGTGTTTCTCTGAATGTTGAGGCAAAAGGCATGAATTGGTGATGGAAATTTAGGTTATTTGCTCTGACCTTGATTGGTGTTGCATGTGAAAGTGAGAGGGATATGAATTGAATGATCTTTGGTTTATTAAACACTTAAATGCATGATGGGAAAGTAATGGATGAGGTCAGAACTGGAAAGAATCACTGTCCTTGGAGCTGAAACTAAGACTGGTAGCTGTTATTTCATTCTTGTTCATACATAACATTTTAAAATTTAAAGATAAGAATAGATGACTGTGTTGCTATGGGTGTTCCCCCCTCTTTTATCTTCCATCCTTCCTCTGTTTCAAATGAATGAAGAATGCTATTGAGGAAAGTACTTACTTCTCATTTTGATTAGTGGGAGCATTGTTTGTGGCTTTTCTCCTTGTTTGGGAGTTAATTTTTAAGTAGAGAGGAAATGATAGTTGTTTCCCCTTATTTAATATAAAATAACCCTTTCCCCTCCCTGCCTTCCTTTCCTTCCTTCCACGTTTATTTTATTTATTTATTTATTTTGTTTTATTTTTTTTGGGGTGGGAGGGTGGTGGCGGTGGAGAGAGTTGTTGATTTTGGGGCATTGAGTGGTTTTCCGAACTATTTATGGTGCACTTGTTGAGGATTGGCACCTCATGCCCTGTTTTCTCTCTGGTATATTATGAGTGCATTTTGTTCTGCAAATTTGCAATTTTTTTTACTCAATCTACCCAGCCTCTGGTATATTATATTGTTTATATAATATATTTTTAATATATTCTAACAAACGGAGAGTTTAATGCTGCTAGTTCCTACTAACATCATGGTGCCACTACACTAATCAAAAGTTACATCAAATTTGCAAGGCGTAGTTCTTTGAGAAATTTGTTTCAGGTAGTTGGATATATATAGAAAAAAAGTGCCTCTGTTGTTTAACTTACCAAAACTCATCCTCAAGTTGTTATTGTGTGCTGAAAATGTTTTTATAATTATAGGGTTTTATAATTCTCATGTTGAAGGAGAATTGAAATCTCATGTTGTAGAGATAAAAAGCATGTGAGACCCATGTGTTAGGAAAAATTATATGTAGGACCCATGTCAGCACGAAAACCGAAGGGTGTGTAGGAAAATTATAATTCTCGTGTTAAATGAGAATTATAAAACCCATAATTATATGATAGCTATGTTTTATTGGTGAGAGTATTATCTTCTCTGAAATTATTTTGCTGGAGAAAGTTAAAATGTGCCGAACACGTTTAGATAGTTACATGATAGCTATGTTTATTAGTGACAGTATAATCTTCTTTTTACTTGTTTTGCTGGACAAAGTCAAAATCCTCGCTACCTCAAGCAAGAGCTCAAGCACATTTACGATCTTTAATTTCTTTATAAGTTTTGCCTTAACAGAACCTAGGTGACAATGCCAAGTGTTTATGGTGGGAGTGACTGTGGGTGATATTGTGGTATAAGTGGAGCTAGAAGCGAAAGTGTTAGCAGTTGCCTTCCAATGTTCTTCAGGAGTTTTAAATTCAGACACACTGTTTTTGCTAAAAGGTATATTACACAGCTTGAGTACAGTTCTGACCGCTTCTCAATGAGGGTAACCTAGGTGACAATGCCAAAGTGGCATGAGCCACATTTACAGACAATGCATTGAAAAGAGTATCTTGACGATGCTTCTCTATCGGAGCCTCCTAAGCAAGCAATAGAGCTTCAATTTACTAATATTGAAGGATCAAGATGACTGTTTATTGACGGAATGCTGATAGAGAAGCAATAGAGCTAGCAGCATATACTGCTACCCCAACTGGTTTCAACCTACTGTTTCCAGAGAAGAAAATTCTTCTCATCAAGTCACCCAGTGATTGAAGGAGTGAATGTAATTCGAACGGAGGAACATGTTTGAATGGTCAGAAGCCAAGGCAGTTTAACTGCTTGGACAATTATAGATTACCGAGCTATAGTAATGCTCAGAGATGAGGATTACTCTAACACACTGCTTGAAGCAGTTTTAGTGTGAATTCTTTTGGCATCGGTACGTAGTTAATTTGTTGATTACCCAGCATTATTTATCTCTCAACAATGTCAGATTCCTTTTCTTTATGGCAATATAATTACGATGCTTTTTCGGAGTTATACAACTAAGATACGTAGTAAAGGTTTGGCATACATAAGAGAAGAAATAAACTAATATTGTCAGCTGATGCCAGCTGTTTCTATTTTAGGTTCTTCAAGTAGATTAGAATTGGAGTTGGTTTACAAAACCTGGCACTTGATTATGGTAATAAAGAATATTAATTTCTCAAAGCTGCTTCAGTGCACTTTAGAGAGGGGATCACAAATCTTCTGAAGCCTAATAGTACATCTTAATATATGCTTTCTTCTTGTTTTTTGACCATCTAGCTGAGTTGGATACAAGTAGAATCTTGTAGATGTTTGTTTATTTTTTGAGAGGGGATCAATTGGTTAGTAAGAAATATCCTGACAAGCAGACGCCTGTGCAGCTTAGCAGACAGAGTTATAGCTCAGAAACTACAACATTATCCACCGGAAGAGAATTAACTAAAACTCATGTTAAGAAAAAAAAAAAAAAGAAGAAAAAATTACAAAAGGAACTAATCAAGTGCACAAAATCCTATGCCTAACTAATATTTTGGTGACTTCTATAAAGTGAGTCTGATTTGTTGGAAAATAAAGGATAATAATATAATAAAAAATACATGAGTTGTGATTTTTCAGCGGTTACATTGTAACAGCATGCAATGTACTTTAAGATAAGGCTGTTTTATGGTTTGTTTATATTTTTGGTCACCACTGTATGGTTTACTAGAGTCTATCAATCAACGATTTGTGGGTCTTTATGTTTTGTACATATAAATAAGCTTATCTATTAACCAAATATGAATGATAAGGAGCCCCATCAGTTCTTCCTCCCTTCAATCCCTGCTTGGCCTCACATATCACATTCTGTTTATCTACTTTTGCTTTTGTAGCATTGTGAGGGAAATTTAGAAATGATTTTTCCCATGTAAAGTCAGACACAAGCACATTTTCAACTACCCAACAAATTGGATAAGAGACTGTCAGTTGAAACTTGAGAGGGTTCTTTCCATTGCCTGAAAATTTTTATGTTTATATTTTACCTCCCATACTCCGAAAAGGGACAAAAGTTATTACCTCTTAACCCATACCTACCATACATGATAGATATTTGTGAAGAAGGGGGTGGTCACAAAAGTCCATGAGGCCAATATATTATGAGAATTCTAGTATACAACTAATAAGAAAAAAATAAAATCAATTTAACCATCATCACACATTTACGTTCCTCTCAGGAGGAGATAAGATTTGCTGCTTCTTCCACGTGGCAATGATATAGTGGTGCCTAACGATAAGGCTAGCATTCAAAACTTTTCATTCTCGTGTGGCCAATATGCAATAATGTCATCATTGTCACAAACCCTTCAATTTCAGACCATTTGATTTGAAATATCCAAATTTAAACCATTATATATAACAAGTTTGAGTAGAAGCATAGCAGCTGTACTTGTGAGTAGAGAAGTAAGAAATGGCGTCCTCTATGATATCCTCCCCAGCTGTGACCGCATCTTCAGCACAGGCTAGCATGGTGGCTCCATTCACTGGCCTCAAGTCCATGGCTGGCTTCCCAGTTACCAGAAAGACCAACAATGACATTACCTCCATTGCAAGCAACGGTGGAAGAGTGCAATGCATGCAGGTAAGACAGTTCCATTCCATATATATAACCACTCCCCCTTTAACCTGTGCGGGGTAAGACAATCCTTGTACACAGCCTTACTCTTGTATAATTGTAAAGAGGCTATTTTCTGGATTCAAACCCATGATCTTTCGGTCTGTTTCTTGGATTCGAACCCATGACAGTTCCATATATATATGCAACATGAAAATGATTAAAATGTATGTTACATATTTGTGCACTTAAATTGACATAGTAATTATTGTGAAATGTGCAAGAGTACAAGTTTGTTAACTAACCCCTTTACTCAATATTATGCATAGGTGTGGCCTCCAATCAACAAGAAGAAGTTCGAGACTCTTTCCTACCTGCCTCCTCTCTCCCCTGAGTCATTGGCAAAGGAAGTAGAATACCTTCTTAGGAAGGGATGGATTCCTTGCTTGGAATTCGAGTTGGAGGTCAATTTAGTTGCAACCCTTTTGTTCTTTTTGGTTCTTTTTCTGGTTTTACTTGAATTTTGATGGTTGATCTGTTTGTTTCATTTGGGGTGTGTGTTTGTAGCATGGCTTTGTGTACCGTGAGAATAATAGGTCACCTGGATATTATGATGGACGCTACTGGACCATGTGGAAGTTGCCCATGTTTGGCTGTACTGATTCTGCTCAGGTGTTGAAGGAGCTTGAAGAGTGCAAAAAGACATATCCTACTTCTTTCATTCGTATCATTGGATTTGACAATGTTCGCCAAGTGCAGTGCATCAGTTTCATTGCCTACAAGCCCCCAAGCTTCTAAATTTGAAATTTGCAAAAGGCATTTGTAGCCTTCCCTCTACCCCTTTTGTTGGAATTGGTTTGTTTGAATTTTACTTTTAATGTATTGTAAGAACCTATTTTCCCATTTGTTCTGCCTTTTTTCTTTTTGAGATATATCATCCTGTGTTGGCTTCTCTTTTCGGATTTCCAAATGCAAATGAATGGATGAATGCTAATGAATAAATGGTTTCAAATTACTGAAGAACTCATTATCTGTGGTATTCCCTCTCTTGGGTTGAAATTTAGGCTAAAATTTAGTGACAAAGGAACTCATGGTATGATATTAAGGTGCAGTGTTATATAAAACAGCCTTGCACCTCTCTTTACAAGCTTGTATTTTGGATTTGTTTGTTTCTTGACTTAATTGCAGAATTAGAGTATCTATAACCCTGTAATCATGAGTTAATCTGAGGCGTGTTTATTCTTCATGATTAGTTAAATTCAGTTTCACTTCAAAGGTAAAATGGGTTTTGTTAAAGGATATGAAGTCCAACATTTTGAAAGTAAAATGCTTTGAAATAAGAACAGGAGTTCATATAGCACCCTATTTTGGCTAGTGTCAGGTAGAGTTAGGGTGCTTCTTGATAAGCTAAACTAGAAAAAAGTTGTGCCCTCATTATTAGCTATAACTATTGACATAAAGTTAAGCTATTGATTAACATGTAGTAATGACTTCAATCAACACTCCTGTTGCCATGAAGCTACTGAACTTTCAAGGCCAAATAGAAATCCTGTTATCCTTGGTAACAAAAATATTCAGAGTTTCTGTTAGATATAATCCTTACAACTTTTGCACATACTAATTAAAAGGTTACATTTCCTTGTCCTGTTTGCTATACCTTTGGTTATAAGAAAAGCTGCAAAGATAACCAAACTCATTACAGTCCAGTATAGCCTTTTGTATGAGACATTTCTTCACTCTCCTCTCTGCAACTTACAAATCACTATTGTAGTTTGGTAAGGGCTGAATGAATCCGATGTCAACATAAAGGCAAACACAATTGGATTTGATCAATCTCTATTACTACCAGAATAAAAATATATTTCTTGAACCACCGGAATCCCAACATTTGTCAGCATCAGATCATTGGCTAATAATTAATCTGAAGTCCATTCTTTATTTTGTCTTCTGTTTGGAACTTGTTCTAGCTGGTAGTCATGGATTGACAGCCGGTTAATCATTTAGGGGTTGTGTGTTTGTGAAATATGATAGATAACAACTTGCCTCGAGACCATTAAGATTGCATTAAATAATGGACCCTTTTGATAGTAACATTTGTGGTAAAGACTGCATTAAGATAAAGAAACAGATAAGAAGTTTTGTTTAGCTACTTGACATAAACATGGTTGGTAGAATGTCCGTTCCACCAATATACTCTTGAAAATGGAAAATTAATCACAAAAAATGGGGAAGAAACGAGAAAACAAAAATACTCACTTTATTGTTGAAAAAGTTTAAGATGTGTCACTGCCATAACTTTTCCCTGACATAAAACCAAGTTCTTTGGTTGCTTTTTCAATTTTTTATAAATTGGGGTCTATTGACAGATCAGCATCCTTAAAGGGTTTATGTTTTTTTCACAAATTTTGTGAAGAAAATTTTAAGAAATGGTTCTTTTGGGAGAATTAATATGACTGGCATACAAGTTTTGCGGACTATACTGATTGCTGAGTCAAGCCATTGTCATCATCTTAGCTAAAAATAAAAGGGTCGTTATCATCAACGTATGTGAGGTAAGGAAAAGGTAATGTGATATGATTTCTTTGGTTTTCTTTTCTTGCAGTTTGTGACTGGCAGATGGAATGTGATATTTTGTTGTTTTCTTATCAATTCATAAGCCATGCAATCTTAAGGTTGGGTTTGAATTTATTTAAGAACAATGTTATTTTTATAGATATTTTCTACACTTGCTTTTTATGAGAAAAAGGGAGAGAGAACATAAAAAAAAAATAAAAAAATAAAAAATTCTCCGCCTTTCTTTTTATAAGAAGGCATTGTCAGGTACAAATTTAACTCATCTCCAAAACATTGCTATCAGTGATAAGAAAAATCATATTTGTGTTCCCTCATCCTGCTATAGTAAAAAAGTATTTGCCAGTGGGAATGCCACTAAAAGAAGGTTCTGAGTTTGGATAGAGGGGAATATATTTCCTTCCTGTAAGTATGAAGTGGAAGGCGCTTCTTATATCCAAAGAAAGTGCCCTCTAATATCTATAGATGTCGATACAGGCTTCTTTTCTTGCTATTGATGATCTTGGCAGTTTCAAGGCATTAGATGGCAATACTTCATTGCAAAACCATATAGCCTTGTATCTTGGTTGAGGCTAATGCAGTATATGTTCAATGTGAAAAATCGTAGATTCATGTCTTAAAAAGGTGTTTTTCAACTAAATGGAGAGCATAGGATTATAACAGAATATTCAGTAAGGAATTTGACAACTCAGAAAACTTAAAATTGTGATAAATTTATAAAAAGTGCAACAAAAAAAATAGGAAGTAGAAAGTGTGAATGAACATTTTAGAATGAAATAACCCATTCCTCACCATACTTTTAAAACTTCATCACAGCACCATCTTAAGTTAGTGACTTGGACATTCATAATATTCAATTTAAACAATCTTACCAACCCTTCTTTCGTAAACAATCATACCAATCCCAAAAAGACCCTATATCCACAATCAAGGGATTTAATATAATGGTTAAAAGAGTTGGAAGGTGGAGCAAATGAGAACAATGTCTCCAACAATAATGTACTTGGTACCAGCAGTATTACTTTGCCCGCTTACCACCTACCGCAAGTGTAATAGCATATTCCACACAACAAGAACACTGATAACCATAAATTTAAAATGAGAACTTTAAAATCGCATTCAGGAACAGAAAAGACAAGTTTAATAACTAAATACAATAGACATACTTTCAAAGTTACCTAAATATACTTACAGGGACGATAACCAAAATCATCAATTCTATACAGAACATGTTTGTGGTGATCACCTAAAAAACTTAAAAAGACACTCATATACAACCGCCATATATTACAAAAGAATATGCTCTTCACATATCAAACCTTCTCAAGAACACGAGGTTTGCTTTTTCAACAGCTCCCGAAACTACTCAAAAAGAAAGTCATACTGAGATGATCACCATACCCCAAATAAAAAAAAATATACATTTTCTATATACACAACTAACTGAATTTTTTACGTCCCTCTGCAAAACATTCAAAATTCTCCCTTAAGTCATGTGTTATAAGTAGTGGCACTTGGCTTCTATATACAGTTCCACAAATGGAGTTTAAGCAACAGCAGGGATGCCTGAATTCTGGCAATCCCTGCTGAGGCAATCAAATCCTTCTACTCTAACTGCCGCCGGTTTAAGTCCAAGCTTCATCCTAGCACATCCTCCTTTATGAGATGCTGAGGATGGAGACATTAAACCTGAAGGTGATGAAATAGTAGACGTACGAGTATGCTCTTCATCTCCAAATCGAGCATCTTGGGTCAAGGGATTAGCAGCCCGAACTGGAGGAGACCCACAAAAATATTGGAGATTTGGAAATTCTTCCCCATAACTCTCCTATTTAATGCAAAATAAAAATTAATCAATCAAAGATCACAGTCAGACAACATCTATTACAGCAAAAACTAGGACTATGCCATTTGTAAGCACACCCGTCAATAGTAGAGTAACTACAAAATTTGGAAAATACTATATATCTTTAAGCCCAAAGGAATTTCAATAGAAAAGTGGCAATTTGAATATGCTACTTGTAAATACCACAAGCATTCTTCATTAAAATCAATATATTAATATCACATTAAAAATACATGCATTACTAAGAGACCAAAATAATTTTTAAGAGATAAACTTAGGGAAATATGTTTCTTATGTTGCATGAGACAATTTTGTCACATGCAAAACACAAGAAGTGGGTGGGACTCATTTTTTTCTTCTCTTTCTTTTTCTTAGTGACTCCCACCCACTTTTTGGTGCGTTGTATGAGATAAGAAACATATTTCCCATAAGCTTATTCTACTTGAGAATTCCTTATCCTCCTTGGTTCAAACATAAACTAAGCAATTTGTACCACAGTCATCACTTACCCTCTTAAGAATAATGTCAAGTAGCTCTGCCCCAGCTTTAGAATCAAACCCCTCAGCTTGTTGACTAATAAAAAAAATTGAAACACAGAACAGATCAGACCCTCAATGCCTTCTAAAACACAATAATGACATCAAAAGGCGAACTATTAATCTGAAAAGTTACCTCAGATGCCATCTCAAGGGTAGTACAGGCATGTTCATTAAAACCCCAAGTCGACGTGGCTTAGGGCAAATGACAGGGCCATTCTGATCAGTAATGGGAAGAGAGTCTCTCATCTCTTCACAGGCTGAGAAGGCATTCTGCTGAAGATGATAACAATTCATCTTCAAAATCGGTTCAATTCCACAGTAGAACGCCTAAACAAGACAAAAAAAAAAAATAAACATTCAGGAAATGTAAACACAATATAGCAAAAGCTGGAACTTGGCTTTACTTACTGAAATACTAAATATTTACAAAGGGAATGAGAGCATATTCTCAGAAATCATAACATTTCCAGCTTCAATTAGCTAACAGATCCATTTAGCCTGATCAAACCAATGCATCAAAATTGGAGAGGAAAAAAAAAATCTAAACTTCAGAAAGAAATTGCACAACCCATTTCACCACTCTTTCCCAACTATCTACTAACTACATAAAAGGGTTAAATAAGTTGCACAAATCAACAGCAGATCTGAGTGCAAACCATGAAAAATCTTCACTATTTCTATTCTCTTTCTTCCAGGTGGCCCATGAAAGCCACGATAAGATACATAAAAAACCAAACTTGGGTTAAAGCTAACCAGCTAAATCACTATGTCAATTTTACAAATAGCTACCAGTCACAGAATTAAAAAAAGGGTTTTTTATTGAATGAATCTCCAAATAGAATAATAAGCAGAAAAATAAAAAAAATAAAAAAATTGAGTAAAATAAAGAACATATCAAAGTACTGATAACATGCAAACATGTTGAGAGAAAAAGAGACCTTTGAGGGTATCCTCCTCCAAACGAAGAAATCAACGGAGCTGAGAGGACAAGAGAAACGAAACGGAAGACACAAATCGTATTTGTAGTAGAATTTTTGTGTTAGAAGAAAAAGAGTCATTCGATGTCGTTTTGACAAATATATAAAATCATTAATATTCTAATTCCAGGATATTCTTACACCGGGTGTAAGAATTAGAAGTCTTATACTCAATCTTGCTCATTGATTCATTTGTATCTAATAGCTTATATTACTAAAAAATTTGAGTCCTTAGATATAAGTGAAATCAACGAACAAAATTAAAAGTGTAACTTACAATGATATAAAATGATTCTAACTCATATTCTAATATTTTCTTCATCTTCTTTTTTTCATTTGGTACATAAATATGCTAAGACTTCAATTAATATAATTAAAAAGCACTGCTTTAAAAATTGATCACTGGATTGGTAAATCTTGTTCATTGAATCTTATACTGGTTCGAGTTATTTCTTAAAACTGATTTATCGCCAAAATTTGGTTTTGATGCAATATCTCAAAATGGATCAATTCTTTGTAAAATTAAAAATTTGAGCTTAGTTAAATTAAACATGACTTGGATTCTTAATCTTTTAGTGGTTCGTGTTAGTTTTAAATAATATGACTCTAAACTACTAAAATCATATTTAAAAAAAAAAATTCAGAATTACTAAAAGAATATGTGCATTAAATCTATAATGCTTATTCTTTTTACCTTTGTAATTTTATTTTTATACAAGTGGGCCACATAATCTAATATAAACTATCCAAATCCCTCGTCATTAGATCAAAATTAAGAATTTTAGAGAAATTTTTTTTTATGATTATGTGATATGTGTATATTAACAAATCAAAATTAATCTCGTAGACATGAATAACTTTAATATGATCAAGTATTGCAAGTCAATTAAATTTTGAACCTGTATGGTATAATCAAAATTTGAAAGGTAGCTATAAGATTAATGGATCCATATCATAAACGTATGATACGAATGAACTTGAATTTTCAAAAATTGCCATAATTAAGCGGATCAAATAAGTTTTTTTTTTTTTTTTGTTGCCAAATTCAAAAGATTCTAAACCAAAAAATAAGGTTTTTTTTTTTTTTTTTTTTTTTTTTGATAACAGGTTTTTTTTTTTTTTTTTTTAAACGAGGCACGCATGTTACTATTGGTCGTTTCATTTTGCTGGTTCGTGCACATAAAATCATTGATTCAACAGCTAAGATATGTGTCTAAAACAATAATCAAATTGTTTATTTTCAAAATATAATAATAGTAATAAAAAATAATAACAGTAATAATAAAAGTGGTGCTAAAGCATTCCACTAGGTCTGTGTTTAAAATAACATCAATATGAATATAGAAAAATATTTTTGTAATTAATGCAAATAAGTTATTGCATTTTTTTTGGTAAGCTAAGTTATTGCATTTACTTCCAAAGTAACGTTGTTTTGAAATTGAATGATTAGAAAATTATAAATATAAAGACTATAATAACTTTAAAATAAATTAAAATTACAAAAACATCATGATTTTCGCTTCAAAACGATATCGTATCGAGTTTACTGCAAATAACTTATTTACAGTAACTGCAGAAAAAACGAACCCATATAAATATTTTATGCTTATTGGAAAAAAAATGGTAATAATTCTGAGTTTTGACATTGAATAGGGCAACAAAAGTAAGAGAAGGAGGGAAATATTTAATATGCTACAGGACCACTTAATGATTTGATGCTCCCTCTTACAACACTAATTTTTTCTTTCCCTTTTTACCCCTGCTATTTTTCTTCTTTTCCAATTTTACCCTTCCATTTACGCTAAGGGACCACCTAAAAAATAGTGGTCCGGACCACAATAAATTCTCTCAAGAAGGAGGGTGCCAGGGTGGCATGGCGTCCTTGTCCTTGAGCACATCTTTGGTGCTAGTGTAGCATGTACTCCTTTACTAAAAGTAGAAAATAGTGATGGTTTTTGAGAAAATAACCATACAAGAAAGGTAAAATAGTAAAAAAAATATTATATTTTCTAAATTGAGTAAATGATGCACCAAGTCTTCAGTACTACTGTAGTACTGAAGATATTTCCCTTGTCCTTTGAGATAAAAACAAGGGTAAAGTGCGTGTCATTTTAAAGGATGTAAAGTTGTGTCATTTTAAGAGAAAAAAAAAGATAGATAAAGGAGGAGAGAGAGTTGACAAAAAAAATAAAGACGTGGGTCTCACCTCTTTGTGAAAGTGAAAGGATGTAAGTTGTGTCATTTAAAAGAATAAATACTTTTCCCTAAAAACAAAACATTTATTTGGTTAACAAATGGAAATTAATGGAATGCTTTGTGGGCAAAAGAGTTATGTAACTTTTGCGGATTTAGATGTTCTTATATGAAAAAAATGATCATTTTATTTAATCATAATTATTCATTTAAAAATTATATATATTTTTTATCATCAATAAATAAAAAATGAGTAATTATAATCAAATCACATTAGTCTTTCACATACGAGAAGATTTAAATTCAATTTTTATTATGATAGCATCAAACTTCGAAAAAATAAAGTTGGCATCCACTTCCAAACTGACAAGTGACAACCCCCTTTGACCTTTCCGTGGAAAAATGGGGAACTATTATTTTCCATGAAAATCATACGAATGTGTTCTTCTGACGAATCTATCAACACGCAGTTGAGATTCTAAGATGTCCGTTCACTTGATTATGTTCATGCTTTGAGAATTAGAGGTTGTGGTTTGTGCTACGACACGTGCTACCATGTTCATGATCTTGGAACCGTATCTGAATGCGTCATTCATACTGGTACATTGGAACTAACACTATCGTGCGTATCGTACACGTACTTAGCTTCAAATAATGATAATTGCAATTTTTTAAGTTTTTGGTGAAGCCTTATAAAGATTTATGGAAAATAATACTCTTATACTACATAAGAGTACATCATTTTCCTACACTAATTCGTTTTCCGTGCCAATTAATTTTTCTTTTTTTTTTAATATAAAATATGGGACCCACATTTAATTTCTCTCTACTTTTTTTATCTCCTACAATCCTACAACATAAGAAAACTTAAACCCAAGATTTATATTCGAGGGTCATTTAAGCCTAAAGCGTATCCAATTGTAGAAGCTCTAATACAATTTTAGAAGGTCAAAGTCATATCAAAATTTAAAGAAATGTTTATTATCAAAATTAAACATAAAAAGAATTTAATTTTGATGTATTGTCATTATAAAACTTCTTTACGTTACCATTTAATTAAGTACTGTCAACTTATTAAGAAATATGCTACACTTATCTCATATAATCAATTACGAATCGAATATTATGATACACTTAAAATTAAATAAAAAATATATACATCTTCATTTATTTCTTTTTCAAACAAATTAATTTTTTATTGTAAATAAAACATTGTTTTTAAACTTATGAAACTATTTTACTACACAAAAATATTAAAAAAAAAATATTTGAAGAACTTTTTTTTAGAATAAGTTTTGAAATCTTAGTAATGCTCTCATTGCAAGACAGTGGTAGTTTGAAGAGTGATAATTTGTAGGGAAAAAAAAAGGATAGTTTATGAACAAAAAAAATGATATGCCTTATTTTTTATTTTAAAAACAAATTGTGATCTCTGGTTTGTCTTTGAATCATTTATTCCCATATTTTTTTTCATCTAACTCCCTGGTGTTACTTAAGGGTTTTTTAATCAACATATCTAATTTATCCTTCTTACAAAAATAAGTTACTTTCTGTTATTTTCTTCCCCAAACTTTGCAACCATTTTGAAATCCAAGTATGGAACTATTCAACATAACAGCAACTAGTTTATTTCATGATAAAATTGTTATGGTTGTTTGTTTGAGAGATTATATATAGCTCTGAATTGTTCCCAAGCAGCTGAAGGTGAACTCTACATTGATGATGACAGCAACATTAATTTTCTGCAAGGGGCATACATCCATAATAGTATCCAATGTTGTGATCTCTGGTTCTCATCTATGTCTATATATGTATATAACTGCAAAAACATTGATCATAGTTTGCTCTGTGGGTGTAATGCCTCGTAAAGATCTTAGGGACAACTCCGAGAATAGCTCAGTTGGCAGCTGAGCTCGCAAGGAATTGTTTAGTGCAGGGATCAAACTCTGCCTCAAGCAGTTTCTTGGAAAATCTTTGAAGGCCAGAGGATAAGTCAAAAAATCTCGTCCTTTTCTCTGGTTACGAAGCTTAGTGCACCCACTGTTACAATGAGGAGCTAGCCCAAACAGGCCGTACCCCGAGGGTATGGTGCCCGGAGAAAGTTGAATGGGAAGACCTTTGTCAATGTACCAAAAAAAAAAAAAATCTTAAGGACAAATGATGGGATGAAAAATCTTTCCCATACAAGCCCATTTTGATGGTGAAGTTCCATCCGTTCCGTCAACTGGTGACTCATTTTTTTGCTTTAAAAACACGTTCTGTCCTTAAGAGCATCAGCACCCAACAACAAACATAATCGATTTGAGTTCATTGCTAGGGCTCCAAACTATACTCCTCGTGCTCTTAGCACAGTCTCCATTCATAATGATATTGTTGGATTCTTACTTTTGAATTTTTGAAGTTATTATGAAGTCCTAGATGAGAAATTATATCAATGGGGATATGCATGTCTGGGAACAGGAAAGAAATGCATTCTTTGTTTTTCATTGTGTAGATTTTAATCATTCATAGAAAACCAAAACTATATAATGAATTAGTCTCACATAATTATGCTTTAACAATACATGGACGCAAAGTCTTGGTACAAGATAATGTGATGAATGCAAAATCAAATTAATGCTGTGTAGCCTGTTCCTGTTTTGTTGAATAGTTCCATACTTGAATTTCAAAACTCTTGCAAAACTTGGGAAGTAGATGAAATGTATTTTTTGTAAGAAGGGTAAAATAGATATATTAAATAATTGAAAAAAAAAAGTATAAGGAGAAAGTGATTTATCAACTGCGGTATTTGAACTTCTTTGTCTTTACTTGTTTTATCTTCCCCTTCCAACTATTTGAGTTAATGGGCACTTAGCCACTTTTGTCCTTTTTATTATTTTTGGATCTCTGATTCAGTGCTGTGTTTCTCTCTTGAGTGGGAAATCGGGTCACCCGTTTCGGTTCTGTATTTATTTATACTTATATATGAAGAAGTGGCCATTGTTGCTGAATCTGTTATCGGGCATCCTTGTTTTGCTTCAATCATGTCTTTCTCTTCATGCTTTTACCACTCTCCCTTAGCATTCAAGGTACAGTTTCTGTTTTATCTTGAATTTGATTTGCTCTGGGTGCTTAATCTTATCTGCAGTTTTCTTGTCTTTTTGTGGACTTCTGTTCATTTATTTTTTCTTAAATGGGCTTTCCTTTTGAACTTTAAAGTTTTGAACTTTGAATGAATATCTGATTGAAAATGGCCTTCTGTCATGGATTTGAATCACAAAGGCATTACTAATAAATGGGCATTTGTGGATTTTTTTTTCCTTTTAAATTTAATTGATTTGACATTTTTTTTTTATATTTGCTTTCCATGGATCTATACTAGGGGCATGTTTGTATAGTAGTATTAAAAGGGAGTTTATGTTGCAAAAAGTTGGCTCTTTGTGTCACCAAAACCTCTAAATTCTCTTCTTATATAGCAATTATGGGTTTGTTCAGGTAGTCCTTGCATGTTGAACTGAGTTGATCTGTCTTTTAAAGAATTATCTGCACAATCCGGTTATTTCTCACTGACAAAAAAGTTAAAAGATCAATCAATGTAGTTCATTTATTCTTATGTATGGATAACATGGTGTTTATTTCCGGGATCAAGAAGTTTTCTTACGATTGAGACTCTATTTCTTATAGATTGATCACTTGGGGCTGGCTATAAAACCTAGTGGCACAGTTGGGAAGGGGCAAAATTTTCCTTTCCTTATCAGAATTAATGGTGCTGAGCTTTGTAACCAGCACATTGTGAGAGGTAGAGTCAACTTAAGTGCAGATTGGAGTTTCATAGGAGGATCCAGAGTTGTTGTGAAACCAAAAGCTACAAGATTGGTTCATTATCCAAAAAGCAGTCGAATACATGCTTCATGTAATCCTTTTTTAAGCTACATTTACTACTTTTGAAACTCAGTTTTACAATAACAAGATTTGGGTGTCTTGTGCTGGTCCAAATTAATTTAAGCACCCTACTGAAGTCTCTGGTGTTTTGGTTTTGCACTTTGATGACACTACATCATGTCATTGAGATTCTTATAGGTGAAGCTGGAGGTTCTGTTATAAGGTCTCTTTGCTTTAAAATTGCTTTCAGTGGTCTACTGTCAATTTGACCTTTGAAAATTTTCCCTGCATTTTGATTGGTATAATATCATTGGTGCAAGCTGTTTCTTCATTGATATAATTCATTATTCAATAGAATTGGCTATGCCTATGAGGAATCTTTGGCTATAATATTGGGTATATTTTGATTCTTATGCAAAAACAGTTGGATCTGTCTTACCAGTAAATTAATATTGTTTAACTTGAAAAATACAACAAATTAACGATTTGATACGCAGGATGCATTTAAATAGGCAGCCTACGTCTTTTGACGGTATCATCATAACCTAAATTAATGAATGTACTTTTGTCTCATTGAGTCATTATATTTATATGGACAGTGAAACTGAAAGCAATGATATATATATGGAAATGGATCTTCTGATGTGAGAAAAAACATGACATGGTTATGTGAGAAGATCACAACCATACAAAGTTAAATCAATAGTTATGATTTTGTAACTACTTATTTTACTATTTTTTCTCTCTCCTCTTTTATTACCATTGATCCACCTTTGTATGGTTATGATTTCCCACTTTACCATGTCATGTGATTTTTCACATCAGAGGATCCGGTTCCATATATATATATATATATATAATATGCCTTGATCTTTTTACATTATATACTTGATGAAGTACCCCTATTGAAAGAGGGGGAGGAAGTTTCATGGTGTACAATATTATGTCTGATTTAACTTTGCAATGTGTTGCTGAAGGCAACATGGTTTCTAGGTTTAAGGTTCATTAAGTTACGTGGTTTTATTCCTTTTAAGTTTTGGAGACCAGTTATTGATGTTAACATTGTTCCTTTTGCTTTGTATTTCCTTTACTACAATTTTCATGTGGCTGCTGATCTCAGCTATATTTGCTGTTCAGGGTTCCTACCTTACTGTTATGGTGTATGTAGCATACTACATTCAAATCCTTGAAGAAATTCGTTTTGGTTGGACACCGAAAACTCTAAATTGAAACCGCATGTTCTAATGTACTTGTAACTTGATTATGCTCAGTGCTTAAAACTCTTGCTATCATCAAATCTGCTATTTTAAGTTTAAGAAGTTGTTCAATTTCTTGACAAGGTATGCAAGACACCAGGTTTCACTGCATGTATTGAGCAATCCTTGCATCAATCTTGTGAATTTATTTTATGTAGCTCGTGTCTTGATTTCACAAGAATGGTGACCCTCATTTAGTTTTGTTTTATTTTTCTGGCATCCCCGAGCAGGGGGTGATTGACTGAGTACTACTCCCCATACAGTCTAAATTTCCTACAATCATTCAGGTCGGGTATAAGGTTTTGCTTTTAACTGTTGATTTTTTTTTGTTGTTGTTGTTATTTTGATGTAAAATGTAATGGGAATGAGTGAATCTATCATCATTAGTAAATCTATATACCAAAGCAGTGTTGTGTAACTACCTTAATCTCTTTGGCCATCTGTACTCTTTGTATAAAGTTGACAAACATTTCTTCTTTCTGTATAACTGGTGGTAACTATATTTGTTTTACTATATTCATTTTTCTACTTTTATGTTTCAGGGTTCTTAGGATCTCAACTTGCTAGCTCTGTCTTCACATTGGGAACAATAGCAGTGCTCCCATTTTACACACTTATGGTTGTAGCTCCAAAATCTGAGCTGGTATGTTTCTTGCTGTATTTGAGAAAGTTTATGATCACAATTCATCTTCAATTTTTTGGTTCATTAAGATCTTAAGTATCGATAATATCCAAAAATCATTTACATTGATATACATGTATGCTTCCCCCTCTCTTTTTTTATAATAAACTTAAACCTTTTTTCTGTAGCAGTAAAATTATTTGTTTGGAACTAACAAAAACAAAAAAATTGTTTGGTGAATTCTGATATTCTTCTTTCTCATACCATTTATTCGGTTTTGATTGTGTAGTTAATGTCCTTGTGCCTGATTCATTTTCCTAATTAAAAAATGCAGACTAAAAAATCTATGGAAAGTAGCATACCATATGTAGTGCTTGGCGTTCTATATGCATATTTATTGTACCTTTCTTGGACCCCTGAGACAGTCCGATTGATTTTTGCAAGTAAACACTTGCTACCAGAGGTGTGTATTCATCAATGAAGTTGTTTCCCTTAAAAAGAAAGTTCTATCCAACTGATAAATGTATGATCTGCTTGTGTACTTCGTGCAGCTGACTAGTATAGGAAAAATGTTCTCTAGTGAGTTGACTTTAGCCTCTGCCTGGATTCACCTGTTGGTTGTTGATCTTTTTGCAGCAAGGTTCTGCATTTTATCTTTCTTTCTTTCTTTTTTTCCAACCCTCCCCACCTGAGGTTCCTTTTTTCTGTTGGTTTCTCATTCTTTAGTTATTTTTCTAATAGCATTTCTGATTATTAATCCAGGCATATTTTCCATGATGGACTGGAGAATCAGATTGAAACTCGGCATTCAGTTTCTTTTTGCTTGTTCTTTTGCCCCATTGGGATTCTTACTCATGTCATCACCAAAGCAATGACCAAAACTACCAGAAAAGAGGGTCATGGTTTATAGAAGGCACCTGCTTAAACAGAAACAAACGGATTTCATTTGAAGTTTAAGAATTTGAGAAAGTCATGTTTGAGTTGAAGTTAGTTATAATTTCATTGGTACTTTATTCTTTGGTCTTCAATCAAAATATTACATAATTAATTGTTTGTTCTATCTCAAGTGTATCTATTACCAGGCTGAGTGTAATACTTCTTCGTTACGTTGCAAAGCAAACTTTTAATCAACCTTCTCTTTTAATCAGCATAAGCTGAAGCATCTATATAAGCAGTACGCCCTATGGTCCCTGGGAGGGTCATGAAAATTTTGAAACGCAAGTTGCTTTGAAAGGATTATTTCCCCCCAGAATATAATGCTTGCGGCCTCATTTCTATAACACTTCCCCCCCCCCCCCCCCAAAACTCCCGTAAAATCCAATGCAAATCCAATATCTTTAAGTTTTTTTTTAATGCCAAATTTGTGTTATATATGTATATATTATAACAGTTCATAAACAGGAGAAATTTAAATGAAAATAGCCTAAATCAATAAATAATCAATATCTGGAATTCTCAGCCAATATCAAAATTATTTGTCAATACTTTATATTTTGAATTACTTTACCGGGCAAAATGCGTTAGTTGTTATTTTTGTTAACCTTGGCCAGAATAATGCATCAATTCTTGATATCATGTATCTATCCAGTCGCTAGTTGAAACCGTTGATGGTTCCAGATTTTACTTCAGCTGCAAAAAGAACCACACAGTACAGACTATGGCAGATTAACGGAAGAGCAACTAAAAACATATGAAGACACAATACTATTTCCATAAAGCTAAAAGTCGGTAGGTGCTGTCTGTCATCCAAAAGTATTCTGTAAATTTTTCAATAAACTAACTAAATGTTACACACATCAAAGCACTCAGACAAATCTGACATATTTCAAAAGCTAAGTGATCTTAGTTTTCTTAGACTTCACTTGAGGCTTCTCAGGAATATCATCATCATCTTCTGAAGATGCTTCTAATAACTCATCTGGGACATCGTGAGGAACATTATGCTTTGTTATGAAATCCTTCAATATGGTCATGCTTTCCTCTTTCAATAAAACTAATTGCTCTGATAAAGAACCTTTGTTTGCCTGAACAGAATATGATTCTGTGCCAAGGCGAAGTGTGGCTTTCACCTGGGGCCTAGGATGCAATGCATCACATGAATCTGTTTCCATCTATGTATTTTGAAAAATTAAAGAAAACAAAAAAGACAGTTAGATGCTTCATTATTTAAGAGTGACACTGATAATAATCAAAGAAAATATAACTACAAAGTAACCAAAGACAACAAACTAGATATTAAGTGGAATAGAAACCATCCATTTGCATTTGCTTACGTACTACAAGTATTTTATTGAGGTAAAACAGGGAAGATAGACCAAAGTGCCACTCTTTGAAAAAAAATTTACCCAAATGCCACGCGAATAGTACTTTTTACTAGATTGCCACGTGACGTAATTCGCTACGACTGATAGCGAATTACGTTCGTTAATGATTTTGTGACACGTGTCATATTTTCGCAGAAAAAAACTGACTGGACGTAATTCGCTACTTATGGTAGCGAATTTGGTACGCAATATGGCCACGTGTCATGAAATCATTGACAAACATAATTTGCTATAAGTTATAGCGAATTACGTCGCATGACAGTCTGGTAAAAAGTACTGTTCGCGTGACATTTGGATAAAAAAATTATTAAACAGTGGCACTTTGGTCACTGTTCCGTAAAATAGTCTTACATAACTCCAAATCAAGCTCAATAATCTGCCATTTGCATTTGTTCTGAAACACCAGAACAAGAAAACCAAAAATATGAAGCTCGAAAGTCAAAATCAATCAAGCTTCTAAATTAAAACACGGAAAAACATGCATCAGATTCCAAATCCACGACCATGCAATCACACTATGCATATTAAGTAAGTCATCAATGATCCAATAAACACAAAAAATTCAGGAATTCAAGTCCAAAAGACAACCTCAACTCAACCCATGTCCTCAAGCATACACGGCTTAAGGTTCAGGACAAACCCACATATCAAAATCAGCATAGAATACAATTGGGTTATATAAATACCAAACCTACATACACACAGGCAATTCATCAAACAGTATATCTGCAAATAATAGTTTTTTAGTATAAGTCAGGTTTCCGATAACTAAGCCCCTCGAGAGACATAGAGTACAATAACATTGAGATTCAAACAAAGCGCACATAATTAAACAGAAAATTCCTCAACTTGAATAAAAAGCAAAAGGGTTTACCTTTGCCAATGCTGCTGCACGCTCAATCAACAACAATGCTTATCACTTATCAGTCACTGAATCTAAGTTCGTATTTGGGCCTATCTATACCAAACAAACTTGGGCTTTGAGATCCAAACCAACTTATTTTCATAATTCTCTGTGTTTTTTTTTCCCTTATCTTTTACAAAAATTAAAAAACTATTAAAGGCTTTAATAATTAAGAATGGTTTTAGTGTTATTCGGATGAAAGTTGAAACAGTTACTAGATAGAGTATTCTCATTTCTCCCAACAATATATTAAGGACGTTATTTTTAATTTTTTTATTTAATTCGGTTCGAATAGTATGAGACTTATATTTTAGAATTAAATATTAAAATTAATTTTTTATACACTTATTTAAAAGAAATTATGAGGATGTGTAGATTTTTAATATAATAACACGTTATAAGATGATATAGTAAATTTCTTTTTACATTGATAATGTATTTTTTTTTTGGGTAAGCTGATAATGTATTTAAATTAAATTAAGAAAACCACGACTAAAACATATGTTAGTATCACAAAATTAGACTCTAAAATGAACGAGTAAAGTTTTTTTTTTATTCAGGTTACCCTGATTTAAGGAATTGGACAACATTATAGTTTTTTTTTTTTTTTTTTTTAAAAAAAAAAAATCAACGTTATAGTTTTCTTTTTCTTTTTTTAAAAAAAAATAACGTTATAGTTTTCTTTAAAACCTAATGATTTACTGAAGGAATGATATTTTTAACAAAAAGGGTAAAGTTGAGAGATTATGTACACTTTTTGAAACACAAAAATAAAGATCACAAGCTGTGAATGATTTTTTGTTTTAGAAAAAAAATATTAATTTTAATGCATAATAAGTTTAAAAAAATCCCTAATATATTAGTATATTATTTAACAAAGGATTTAAGATTTTCTACACACATAAAAGTATGTGAAGTCTATATTTTTTTTTTCTCTTCTTCTCATATAGGCCTTATATATTTTTATATGTGTATGAGATAAATTTATATAATAAATATGAGAAATAATAAATCCTTTACTAAATTTAACATTTATATTTGTTATTAATTATTAATACAGTTAAATTCATTAAATTAAGTGTGATATATAATTTTTTTTTAAAAAAAGATTGTAGTTAGATTAAAACTTGTTTACGAGAATAACTATAAAGTACCGACACTTTAAAAATTCTGACATGTCGTATCCGACACTTTTGGACACTCTTCGATACTCCAACACCCATTATAAAAATCTAAAAAAAGATTCAAAGGTTATGTTACGTTGAGTTTTTAGTTCTAACTATTAAATTCGTTGTATTACGATTATTATTTTATTAAGTTTAATATAAATATTTGAAATATCTTATATTTTTTTGCAAAATTGATGAATATTATAAATTTAGTTTTATTTTTTATTAAATTATTGAATATTAAATATAATATATACTATATAAATTAAAAATATTATTTATGTCGAAGTATATATTTTTTAAAATTAAATGTAATCCCATCTCTCATTGCAGTCAATATCAATGCTAAATAGGAGAATAATAAGGATAAACAGACATTAAAAAAGTAATCATAGGTTACTCCTGTGGTTTTGGTAAACATAGATTGCTGTTGCAACACCCTTATCTTATTGAAGCTAAAGATCAAAACTTTGAAGAAGAAGAAGAAGAAGAAGAAAGGCAATGGCTGTTTCTGTTTCATGGTTCCACGCCCATTTTCTGAATGTTTCAAAATCCAACATTTCTTGGAAGCCTGTAGCAGTCCTCAGCAGCAGAGGCAAGAAGATGGGGGTCTCTTACGATCTGAAGCAAGGGCAGTCACGTGTTTTCCACGAGCTTCCTTCGGGTCTGAGCATGGAAGTGATTGTGCAGAAGGGTGTTACAGAAAAGGAGCTAGAGAAGAAAAAAGAACAAACCCCTTTGGTATTTGTTCATGGAAGCTACCATGCTGCTTGGTGCTGGGCTGAACACTGGTTCCCTTTCTTTTCAGCTTCTGGCTATGATTGCTATGCTCTTAGCTTGTTAGGACAGGTCCATTTTTTTCTCTCTCTCTCTCTTAAAACAAATCCCTTCCCTTTTTGTTGCTGAGTTTAAAGAAAAGAACCAAAAAATAATGTGTATCTGATGATTTGGTAACTGTTTTAGTGTTAAAATAGTAGTTCCAATGTGATGGGTGAATAGTAATCTTGGTAACAACCATGTCAATTCAGAGTAAATGAATAGGTGCTGAATGATGTATTTTGGGGCCTCAAAATGTTAAATTAATCTAATGAATTAATGGGGAGATTCCCTCTGTTATCTTAAGTGATGTGACATTTCATATTCTGTTCTTTTATTTATCTTTGGTGAGTGACTCTAGTATCATATTCTGTTCTTAAATGAATATGATATGTGCTAAATCCAAATTCAAGTTGTGCATACACATACCTGCATGCTTGTGTTGTATATTTTTGTGGCTACGTACACACCAACCTCATTCGGATAGATTTTCGGTCGATTGATGAATATGTGATTTTTAAAGTATGCCTTTGGTGATTTCACATTGTTCTTATGATTGTCTGCTATTGTTCTGGCATGCATTCTACATGGGCAGGGTGAAAGTGATGCACCTGCTGATTCAGTTGCTGGTACACTTCAGGTATAGTACCTCTCCCTTTACTAGTTCAGATTTAATCATCTATGAACGTTCAATTTTTGTTTCATAATTTCGACATATTTCATCATGGATTATTGTCATATACTCTTATAATATCCTGTTTGCACCATATCCTGCAGTAGACACATGCAAGAGATGTTGCAGATTTCATCTATCAAAATATCAGGTCACCACCTGTCTTGTTCGGACATTCATTTGGAGGGCTTATTATTCAGTATTATATTTCCAATTTAGGAAGTGACAAACACATAGGTACTTTCTGAGTCTGGCTTACTCATGCACATACTTGTTGAAAAGTGGTTAAATTAGAGAATTCTGGATTCCAGGCTCATACAATTGTTAATTGTTTAGAATTATTTACACCAAATGCTTATTTCAGGTTATTTTGAATTTGACATGAAAACACCATAGTGAATGTGGTCAAAGACACAGATGTGTTGCCTTTTAAGATTTTACTAATGAGGGATAGTTTTATCTTTGTAAAGAACACTCTTTTTGACCATGAGTGACTAACTTCATATACGTAGTCGATGCTTAGGACTTATATTTTGGGATAACATGTCAATGATCCTAAAGGTTCCCAATAAATGCAACTAGTGTAATGTGTACACCTTTCACGATTTTATAGGTCTCTGGTGCATGCTTTAGATGTAATGCCTAGACGCATAAAAAATAGGCTAAATAGACGAATTGGGATTGATAAGGAAAACCCTAATTCTCAAAGAATGATAACTATGTTAGAATATAGGCTAAACTGATGAATTCGGGTTGATAAGGAAAAACCTAGTTCTTGAGGAATGTTAACAGTGTTCATAAATTCAATAACTAACAAATGGAGTCTTAAACACTCTTTTATATAATACTAAATATCCCTAAAACACAATAAAAACGCAAAATTATAATATTGCCATTGAAATTAAAATAAGCCAAAAAAACCCAAAAATGATGCATTCACACATGACAAATGCACAATTCTAGACCAATTCTAAGTGCATCAAGTTGTCTTTTATGGTATCAGTTTGTATTTTATTTTTATCCCCCCAAATATATATTATATATATATTCAGTAATCTACTACTCTCTTTTGACAAATTTTTTTGATGCGTGTTCTATAAATAGAACCTTTGTACCCGAAGCTTAGAGGAGCTGTCCTTGTTTGCTCTGTCCCTCCTTCCGGTAATAGGTAACTAACTAAACTTTCTAGTATGTTATTATTGTTATGAGTGCACTGATTGAGAATTCTTCTTTATTTTCGTTAGTGGGCTAGTGTGGAGATATCTCTTTTCCAAGCCAATTGCTGCCTTCAAGGTATTTGCACTGACTTTTCTGAAGAATTTGACTTTTCTGTATTTATTTGATTATATGTGTATATCCACCACCTGGCAGGTTACACGCAGCTTGGCAGCAAAAGCTTTTCAAAGCTCTCTTTCTCTTTGTAAGGAGACATTTTTCTCAGCCACAATGGAGGATCATGTTGTTAAAAGGTTTGTTATCCTGAAATCATTCTCCCATGAGCACTTCCATTGAAATTTGAAAAGGAAAGATGATGCTTGATGATATATTCATAGGTTGTTGCTAGATTTCATATGGAAGAAAAATGGAAATTGAAACTATCAATTATGGAAATGAACTAAGTCATGTACCAAAACATGGTTAGTTGTAATCAAAGCTTATTATTTATTAACGGGTAGAGGTGGGGAATAAAGGAAGAAATTCTTTTAAAAAAATGTGCCTAACAATAAGCCTTGGCAATGCAACACACCGAGCTTCAAAACTACAGAAAATGATTGATTATTTAGTAGTAAAACAGATTGGTTTACCGTGACTGACTTTATATGGAGTAAATTCAAATAAAGAAGTCAATAGGGAAAGAATGTTTATTACTGGAAGATAGCTAGAAACTAAATTTATAAACCCCATAAACATGAAAATGCTGAATTCATGCTGAACTTCTTGAACTTGATTTTTGTGTTAAATATCCTTTGTGTAATTTGTTATATATATCACTACCATGCTTTAGTTATTTGCATTGCATCTAAAAAAGTTTTTTACTGCGTTATTTTGGATTCTTAGTCATTGCATTGCTTGTTGTCAAGAGATACAATATAGAACTAACAATTGTGTTTAAGTGATCTTTTTAGTTTGATTAAGCTCACCCTTCAACTCAAGTCAGGGGTCATTTGCTAAGGTTAACACGTGTTGTGTTTAAATTTAATTTTGCTGCATATTTACCCAATATTTCCAAAGCTTTTGGTGTTTGGGTATGCGCTTGTTGGTATTAAGATCTAGTCAGCACTAGTTCACTACAAGTTGGAATTTTTATTCAACCCTTCAACCACAATCTTGGTTCCAAAGTTAATCTGGTTTTTTTGTTAACCGTGGCTTTGGCATATATATATTACAATTCGTGTGTGAATAATAATCTGAATGTGCTTGAGCCACTTTCATGCATTTTAATTTTTAATAATATTTACATCTATTCATGATTAACAAATTGTGTGATTTATTTCCCTTTATAATTTTTAGCAGAATTTTTGACATATGGGGCCAAATATGGAAGGCTTTGGTGTCATGGAATGGTGTTGTCATTTGTCAATAACATTGACCATGATATCTTTTTATCCCCGATTAATTTTCTTGGTTTTCAAGTTTATTCAAAACCTTTGGCTTGTTTTCATATTTCAGATATCAAGAGCTAATGAAAGAAAGTTCCAGGATGCCATTGTTTGATTTAAGAAAGCTGAATGCATCACTTCCAGTTCCTTCAGTGCCAAACTGCCCTATTGAAATTCTTGTTTTGGGTGCAAACGATGACTTCATTGTGGTAAGCTGTGTGTCTAAAAAATGGTCAAGTAACTAAGTGTTTTTTTCTCCAATGATATTGTCTAATACATTGAATTATTATTGCCCAGTTATCTTCTCTACCAATGTTTCTGCAGCGTTGATTTGAATTTCGTTAGTATACACTATTTTCAATTATGCAATTTCCTCCCTTTATTGGTTACAGGATGCAGAGGGACTTAAGGAAACAGCTAAGTTTTATGGTGTGTCACCAGTATGTGTTGAAGCAGTTGCCCATGATATGATGTTGGACATTTCGTGGGAGAAAGGTGCAAAAGTTATTCTTTCATGGCTAAATGGTTTAGAAAAGTAAGAAGCAGGAAATAGCAGGAGAAATCTTTTTGGTTCATTCTCTCATTTTGGTAGAGAGTACATGCTTTTCTGTATGGCTTCAAATCATTACTAATGATGTAGAAGGTGCTCCAAGCTTCAAGTTGAGGCAATAGAGGAAGGTCCAAGCAAGAATGTGATTGAGCTGTGTAATACAGTGATCCAAGTTTCACCATTCATTAAAATATTTGCACCTTTATGTACATTTGAGATCAAGCATGAAATCTCACACAATCGTTTTGAACTAGAAATGTGAATAAAACAAAGGATTGATAGCCAGATGAAAGTGTAACGCCTGGGCAGCTTCAAGAATCAATGACTATCCCCACATACTAACACGAGACTTTTCAGTGTGCTTTTTTCTCACTCGCACACTTTCCGGGAAAACTTCTCAAGAGGTCACCCATCTCAGAATTACTCCAAGTCAAGCACGCTTAACTGTGGAGTTCTTCCGATCCGGGCTACCGAAAAGCAGATGCATCTTGTTAGTATAGGTAGTACCAATTAATTCTTATAAGCATCCCAAACTGTGCAGTCTATCATACCTGCACAGTTTTTGGAATTTCTCTCTTTCGGGTGTCGATTCGATTCATTCGTTCATGTAACCCCCACTGGAAGCCTGTCATGAGCCGCTCCTTATCTATGCCCTTTTGCACCGGTGATCACTCCCCGCCCTCGTCAACGCTCGGGATGTTACAGAAAGTTTCCTTGTTTTCTTGAGATGGTTTAGGTCGAAAAACTTTTAATAGGGTCAACTAAAAAAAACCTAGTGATGATCTTGAAACTAAAAACAAGTTGGAGATACAATAGTATACATTAGTAAATTTGGTGATATTATCAAGGAGGTTTGCACCTTGTAATATGAAGGGGAAAAAAATGCATTTGCAGCTTTTTAATCACCAGTTAAGTAGATTGAAAATGTAAATGATTTAATTGTACAAAAAGAAGAATTTAAATTGGTTAAAACCTTGATTATTATAAGAGGAATGATATCATACCCTCACCTTAGTTTAAAATACTCGCACACTATGCCCCATGGACGGTTGCATAGGTTGGTAGGACAATTCATGAAATGAATTCATATCATTTAATATTTTTTAATTTATTAGTAGATATAATTTTAATCAATTATCTGTTAGAGTTCCATTCAAAGATAAATGACCGCAATTGTCTCTGGCTTCTTTCCTATCTCTCTTTGGAAATATTTCAATCAGTTCATTGTTTCGCGACTAGTCCGATTCAGAGTGAGTCCAAGATTTAAGCTTTAAATCCTTTTCAAAAGTGATACTAGTAAGGATTAAACACATGTTTTCACCACCACCTGCCCAATTCTTATGCGCCAACTAAACTACCACTTTAATTCTCTCTCTCTCTTCTTTTAAAAGTCATTTTATCATTCTCTACTTTTAGTCAAGCAAAGCAACCCTCTAAATTAAGATATTGTTCTATTTTATAATTTTAAATAAAATCAATTATTTACCTCTAGTTGACAGTAAATTTCATTTATTTTCTGGTAAAATAAAAATAATAATGATATTTTTAAAAATAACTAAAAAGAAGTAATTATAGTTTTGTTTTATTTAATTTTATTATTAAAAGATTAAATAGTAATAATAATAATAATAATCATAGAAAAATAAGAATAAAAAATAAATTGGAAAATTTCTCGTACATATATATGTTTTTATTTTACTAGTAAAACTACCATGATTAGTTAATCCTTAATTTATACGTATACAAATAAATATGATATTGATAAAATTGTAACATTCCACATTATTCACTTATAATTGTCTTAAAAACTCATTACTTTTTATTGTATAGTTATAATTTACTTCAAAGATTCTTGATTCTTTTTATCTTAAAAATAAAAAAATGCATATTGACAAGAATGTTAGTATTATCAATTGTAACATTATATAAGACACCGCTAATTCTAGAGGAGGGCAAGAAAATAATTCATTTTTTTAATAAATTATTCCTCCCAAATGAGTTACCGAGAAAAAAAAAAAAAAACTCCATAAAAATTAGGGTAAACTACACTATAAAATACTTGTGCTTGCTGCATAAGCATAGAGCTACACGTTGTGTTCGTGTTCACCATTTGGTACGTTTTCTTTCAGCAATTCCCAAACTTGGAGCTTTTTGGGTATTTGCTTCTAATCGCCAAATTGCATGTCACACTCTCAGTAATACTTGTTATATTATAGGTTCCATTCCACCCATTAGAAAATTTGTGTATCAATTTGGAATGTGATTGTAAAGCTACTCCTTTCTCCCATTTTTATGTTAACCCTTTATATGCGATGTTTTTTTCATTCCATAATCGTGTCACCATTACCTTCAAAATGTTTTTGACTTGAAGTTGTTGTGCTTTGATTCTTATTTATTGAAACAGAGGTGTAACACATTTTCATTCTTGTGGTCTTAGAACATTGTCGATTCAGTATGTTTTTCCTTGCTCATACGTTTGATCCTCTCCTCTTCAAAGGTTTTATTAAATAATTTCATGTCTGATGCTAAGAACCTGTTTACGTCTTGTTAATTTTTAATTTTGAGCATTCAGCATCAGTGAAAATTCTGAGAATTTGAGATAGATGGTTTCTTATTTGCCCTTCTAATCTAGCTTTAACCAGCCCAATGAGTATTGTTGAATTACATCTATTATCATTTTTGTTAAATATTCATTGTGATTGTTGTTTTTTCCTTGGATTCTAATTTTGAACGAATTCAAACTTGTAGTTTTAATCATATATGTTACTTACCGTGATAAAATTGGGATGGTCGCTGTTATGTCATGAAACAGATTGACCAAAATGTACACTTCAAGGAAGATCAACAAGGATAAGGATGCCGAACCCACTGAATTTGAGGAGATAGTTACACAGGTTTTTGCTGTCTCTATTTAAGATCCGGGAGAATTATATTGACAATTTTTTTTAACAAACTTATAAATTATATCATGTCTTATCTGTGAGACTTCACTTAAAAATATATTGCAGTTCGTCTTCAAGCTGAGCCTGAGGTTTGGTATAGTTCACTCTTTTTTTAAAACATGACAAGCTTGGTATTAGTTGAACTGGAAACACTACTCAAAAAGCCATACGCTGCAGTTAGTTTCTGCAGAGACTTAAATTTGCTTGTTAATTATTTCTAAACTCTTCACTCAAGTCTTCTAGCTGGATGACTTCCTATTCTAGTTCACAACACTGGTTCAAGAGAAAATACAAAGTTTCCATTTCTTTTGCACAAAGTTGCATTTAATAATTTTTTCCGTTATTTTAAAAGATTATATTGTAGGAAATGATATAAATATAGTTCAGTCTTATATCAAGCTTCAAGTTTAATGTTTATGTATAATTTTTGAGTTCAGCTCGACCAGTTCAATAAAATTCAACGTAAACAAACATAAAAAATATTTGTAGTTACTTCATTTATTGATATAAATTAATAAATAGGAATACATCTTAAAGGGCATTTAACTTGCTTGAATTATTATGAACAATAAACGAATGGCAACCGGCCTCTCTATAATTAACTTTTCTCAGACTCGATATGCTATGTGATCTTATTACTCTTGCATCTACACTAAACATGCAACACAGAATTGCATTACTTTACTCTAAAAAGCATATGAAAAAAAAAATTAGGAAACTTGAAAAAATCTGCTATTAACCCCTGATCTGTACAGATGCAACTCAGATGCACTAGTAACGCTAATCTCAGTATAAGCCGCTGCAAAAAGAACATCACCTTCAGTGATTGCAAGTCCTTTGGATGATGTTCCTGCATTTATCTTTCCTTTCCCAACTGTGACCAAAAAGATGGAAGGACCTGGGATTGCTGGGAACACCATTTTTTCCCCTTGAGGAAGAATACAGCGATCAATCTCAAATTCCTCGAATGGTGGGATATATCTATTTACATATGGATTTAGAGGAACTCCTCGCAAAATCTCAGGGGAACCCTGTAAAAATTAGACAGAGAAAAAATGGCATCAATATATGCATGCTATCTATTGAGTTACCATTTCAAAACTATATCTTCCCTCAAAAAGTTGAGAATAATGATAAATGTGGGTTCAGTCTTCAACTATATATGCATGCAAATGCTTAATTGAGTCAATATTGCACAAGTGCCACTGCCAACCAAGCAATCCAGGTGGTATTATGATATCCATCGATGCAAAAAATAGAAGAGAAGGCAGCCATACGGATTAATCCATAGCCAAGATGAAATTCAAAGAGAGAAAATTGAAACATATGCCTAAGCTTAGTGACCAGGTGTAAGGCTGAAATACAAGGTTTAACAAGTCATTGTTGACATCAAATAATAACCATAGGAAAAAGTAGATGTCTATAAGTAAACTGAATATCTGACTGAAAAGCTGCATTAACAACCTTGGTATATCATTTACCTGTTTGTATGTGAGCATGGAACAAAGAGTCTCGACATCTCTGTGTTTGGGAGTTAGGCCAGCTCGCACAACATTGTCAGAAGTTGCCATGCATTCAATGCACTCACCAGATAAATATGCATGTGGTTCGTTTGCCCCTAGAAACAAAGCTTCACCTGGAGTGAGTTTTACATGGTTAAGAAAAAAGGCTGCTATGACACCAACATCAACTGGGTATTGCTTTTCCAAACGCAGCACAAGCTGCTCCTTATCTGTCAACTGCCTCACCTGTTGCAAAATGATAATATTATATAAGGACGTAAGCTAAAATCTTAAAACCGAATAGAGCAAGAAATCAACTAACCTCACTTTCCTTATGCAGACGACTTTTCAGTCTGTTAACTGCATCAGTTACTCTCTCTTTACTAGCTGACATGAGGTGGGTAAACACTGCTTGCAAAACATGTTTAACCTTCTCTTCACCATCCTGATCACTAGTTTGTAAGACTAGGTTTGCATTTGCAGCACCAAGCAGTTCCACAACCTCAGGAACAGTATGAAGCACAGCCTTAAGCTCCTAAATAGAAACACGGCATATTTCTCACTTGCTCGAAGTGAATAACATCACAAAGATGGATCAAAATAAACCAGTAAGAAATGTCTGTACATAATGCAATTGACAAAATGCAAATTTAAATTTACACCTTACAGAATTACAGAAATAAAGAGGGCAAGGCCTTGTTTCTTTGTGACCAATAATGGGGAGTGGTTTTAGAGAATTACAGCAAAAACCATGGCAGCACCATTATATGAACTCATGAGTTAATCGAATGGGTTCCCTTAATCCACATATCCAAGCTGCTCACTATTACACCAATAAGTAAGTGGACATCATGTAGAACCAACAGAAAGTAACAACAAACATCAAAATCCCCCCAAAGCCAAACCCAATCTCATGGATACCACAAATTAAAGTGACATAACTTCAGTTTGGCAGTCCCACACTAACAGACATACAATAAAAAAAGATATCAAACTTCCACTACCACCGTAACCAACACTTCCAGGTTTTTTTTTTTAACTCTGTTATCATTTGATTTTTTTCACATGATGCTCTTACTTAATTGTTTGGTCGGCGATCACGGGTTGCATTGCATCGAAAGGAGCCTGTGAACAAGGGGATATGTGATTGACGCATTAATAAAAGTAAAGCGAACAGAAAGATGTTCATTCAGTCACATCATTGGGGAATTATACCTAACAGGTGGGCTGTTCTTTTCCAATCATTTAAAGTACATGAATACTGAATATTTTTAAATTTTTTATTTAAAAGTGACGTTTAACATAACAAATTATCAATGAATTCATAAAAAAATTCTAATTTACTTACCATCAATAACAACACTGCAGACAGAAAATTCGAGACAACCCTACCCAATTTTTGCCTTAAAATAAGGCTCAAATTCACATCATCGAGTTTAAATTGGAAAGACAGCACAAACAGTTCTCTGAACATAAACAAGTAATAGTTATAGACAAAGTCAAAGAAAACCAAACCAGTTATTCTTACAACACTCGTATACACTTGAAAAACTAATATAAAATAAAATAAAAATAAAATTCACAACATCCTGTACCTTAAGAGTGATAAATCCACAAAGAGCCTCAAAATCTGTCATTGCCAATGCCATCTCGGGTTTGTGATTCCCATCCTTATACACATTAGGCTGCAATTTATGCAGAGTCCTAGCCAACTCCTTATCAGGGTGAGCCTGTATAGACAAGGCCTTCGCCACAGACAGCACCTAATGCCCCAAAAAAGTAAAAAAAGAAAGAAACACATAATTCACACTCAAAATTCAATCTTGTGCAAACATTGAGATACCCATTTACACACACACACACAGAGAGAGAGAGAGAGAAAAAAGGACGACATAAAATACCTTAAACAAGAAAGGGAGATCAGAACCCCATTTTTGAAGAACCTTGTCGCCAAGAACATCAGGGTTCTGAGAAATCCAATCCTTAAGGGTGACCCTTGGGGAACCATTGGAGACCAGAAACGATGGCCCTGAATCATGGGTACCCATCCAAAGTTCCGCATAAGGCTCCTCTGGATCGAATTGGGACCCAGAATTGAGCGCGAAGAGCCTTGCAACCTCCGAAACTCGCCCAGGTAGACCCCAATCGTAGTTCTTCACAGAACAATGAAGCTTCTGAAGCTGCTTCGCATCCTCCATGGTTGTTACGGCAATTGAAAGAGAGAGAGAGAGAGAGAGAGAGAGAGAGTGATTGTTGTGAAGCTTAGAGAATCAATGGAAAGGAAGAGAATGCGAATTGAGATATCGAGTCATTGCTTTTGTGAGTCGTATTTGAAGCGTCTCGAAGAGAGGGAAAGTTTGTGGGTTAGAGAGAGAGAGAGAAACCGACGTGGGTTAGAGAGAGAAAGCTGCCGCAAGAGGAGGTTAGTGTCTTTGTCTGTTGCCGTCGCTTTCTACTTCTTCTTCTTGTCAGTTACAATTGGGATCTTATCTTCAATTTCGTTACCTTTTTCTTTCTTGCTTTCTTTCTTTGCAAGATTTGTCTAAGAGCACGAAATTTCATGCACAAGCTCAAAATGATTAATCTAATCAAGACAATTTATGAACTTTCTTATCATTTTTTTGTCATAATTTTTTTTTTGTTTTGCGATGTTGACTTGATCCTTTCCTAAATATGAATATTCGTGTTGACATTATTTAGTGAATAAAGAGCAAAGGAATTTTGCAGATATAAATTATTTTCGGTAAGTACACAATAAGAGAAGGGATATTCTTACTACTAAAATTTTCTACTATCAATTTATTGCTCATCTAATTATCATTGGATCAAAGAGAGAGAATGTTAAAAAGTTTTTGGAGAGAGAGAGAAAATATTAATCCAATGGTGATTAGATAGGTAATAAGTTGGTAGTGAAAAATTTTGGTAATAAGAATATCCTTTTCATAAAATAATGTCATTTTGAAGCAGAAATTAAAATGTTTTTGTAATTCTAATATATCGCAGAGTTATATTAGTCTTTATCGTTATAATTTTTTAATCTTATAATTCAAAACAATATCGTTTTGAGTTCACTGAAGATAAATTTATCTCAGTGGCTAGAGATAACTTTATTTGTGAGTAGAGAAATATTTCTCCGGTGAATAAATTACTGCTTTGTTTACCAAATTTTTTTTTACTACTTTTAATAATGTCATTAAAATGAGTTATCTGATTTAGACGCATGTTAAGTTTTGATTAATTTACCTAAGATAGAAAGTTGATAGAACTTAAGCATGAATTTGATAATCATATAGTCTGGTCTCTGTAATATTTGGTTACAATTTTTTTTGTTTTTCTCAAAATACAAATGTTATTCAATATATAAAAATTATAAAATGATATTGATACATATATGTTAAAAATATTTATGCATACAATGTTGATACATTTGGATGGATCATTCCAACATGCTTGTATTTATGTATCTATGTTAAAAATAGAAATACATCCCTTCGAATGGTTTTTTTTTTTTTAAATATCACATGCTTATATAGGACAAGATAAATACAAAGATTTAGAGAGGACTTTACCAACGAATCTTTATTTTTATGTTTGTACTTTTTTTTTTTAAGAGAAAAGTGTGTGTCATTTTAAATGACAGAAAGTTATGTCATTTTAAGAGAGATACAGACACAGAAAATTTGAATTTTAAATTAAAAAAACCACCCACTTTCTCTCTCGCATAATTTTCATTTTTTTGTGTCTATCTCTCTCCTAAAATGAACTAACTTATGTCATTTAAAATGACAAAGACTAAACTTTTTGTTTAATAAATATGTAGTTCTGTCGTGTAAAAAGTTTACACAAAAAATTGTGTATAGATGAAATAAATAGACAAATAGTTCATTAAATTTACTTATTTATTTTTGGATTAATAACTCAAACATTTTGAATTTTATTTTTTATATTTTACTATATCACGAATTAGGGCTCGTTTGGATGAGTTTTTTTCTCCAGAAGTTGCTCTTTTTTTTTTTTTTGAAGAAAAACACTTTTCATTTTTAGTTCGTTTGGATGTTTGCTTTTAAAAAGAACAGAAGTCATAAAAAAAGTCAAATACCTACTTTTTTCTGAAGCTAAAAATTTTAACTTCTAAAAAAAAAACAGAAGTAAAAAGTCAAATATTTTTTTTAAAATTTAAATATTTTGATAAAAATATAAATAGTTTTAAATTTTTTAAAAAAAACTTTTAAGATAAAAAAAAATAAAAGTTACTTTTATTTAAAGTGCAAACAAACATGCCCTTAGGGGGCGTTTGGTACAAGAGAAAATTTTTGTGATCCCAGAAAAAAAATTTGCGGAAAAATAGTTAGCAACTTTTTTTACAGGATAATTTGCAAAAAGATGTTTGGTAGCCCAAAAAATTTGACAGGAAACTTGGATTAATTTGACTAACTATGTTTGGTTGATTATAAAAAAATGATGGGAATCTTTACCAAAATTACGAAATTACCCATACATTTTGAATATTGTTGATTTTCTTTGTGTCACAACGTTATAATTTACTGCCGTGTCCAACTCATTCGCTCTCTCTCTCTCTCTCTCTCTCTGGCGCTGACGAGGTTTGTTTGCTTCTTTGCGCACAATTTCGCTCACCTCTGTTCGTGGAGCTGGAACTAGGGTAGTTGTCGGAGATCTGCTGCACACCGCCAAGGCCGCCTTGTGCCAGACCTTTCCGTCCGCCACCCACACGGTCTGCTACTCCTGCATCGCGAAGCTGTGGAAAGGCACTAACGGTTAACCTCAACCACGTTGCAAGCTGCATATTATTGCTTTCTTTTTATTTTCTCAATCTAATTTTCCAAATAAGAAAAATCACTTATGGCAATTTTTCTTTTTTCTTCTTTCTTTTCTGCTAATTGTCTTCGTTAGAACCTTGTGCTATTTTTTTCTCACGTCATCACGAAAGTTTCATGTCTTTGTAGGATTTTGATTAAGCTCCATTTTTCAATTTTGTTCCTAGGTTTCATTCTTCCAGATCTGGATCTTCTACTGCTACAATGGCTTCCTTCACTCCTTCTGGTTCAGCCTACAGTGACCCAAGTAAGTCCCTCTCTATCTCTTTCTTGATGCCAATTTGCTTCTCTAACTCCGAATTTCTCTCTCCAAATCTGCAGCTACCGTCGACACCCTCTCCGACGATCGAGCCAACCATCCCTAGGGAAAGCTTCTATAAGTAATCGCATCTTCTAATTTTCCCGATTCTAAGGTTGCTGATGCTGCTTCCCAATTTTTTTCTTAATTTAATATATTTTTTATTTTCTTTAAAATATTATCAATGTGCATGCCAACAACATAGCATTGCAGTATGATGTTTCTCTTCATGATTTAGTTTAAGTGTTATTTTCAGATCTCTAACTCAACTAAAAAATATTAAAAAAAAAGAAAAAAGAAAAACAAGATCTTCTAATAATATTTTTTAAACGATTTCAGAAGTAGTTTGAATAATAAATTCACCTCAATGTGTAACTAGTTTTTGCCTGCATCTTTGTCACATGGAAGAACAAGTTCACAAAGTCATGGTAATAAGGGGAACAAGATATATTGCTTTAACTTTTCTGTCCGAGGGAATTGAGTTTCACATATAAATTGGTTTTGTGATCTACATTGAAATTTAATAATTTCTGTTGAAGTTTGCCTTGTGGTCAGCTATTCATGATCTAATAATATGCCAATCTTTTATATTTTATCCTTTAAAATAATGCTGATTCGGTGCGTAGTTATCATAAACCCGATTACGATTACAAAACTTTCTTTAAGGATGAATCTGATATGCAGTATACAGGGTTGATGAGAGAATATTATAACTATAATTAAGTGGACCACCCCTTGTCTTTGCTGGAGGTTAAATGTACTCTCCATAAGTGTATATGTATACATAAGATATTCTTTTATAAGATATTCTCCAAAGCGATTAAATACTCGTTTAGGCCTTATATTGGTGTCTTAAAAATGACAATATACCTAACTTGTTATTCAAATATAGTTTAGAAACAAAGTCGTTTGTTAATCATCAATGCCTATCGAATACCGAGTATGATTATAATTGTGCAATTTGACATAGACATTGTTCATTGTTATTTTAGAGCTGAGAAGTAGGAAAGTTTTAACTCCTTACAAGTATAAGTCCATTGTGCTTTCTGTTGGTGCGACCCGACCAGCAGATGAAATGGTTATTCATGAGTTTTATGCCCCTCTCCCACTAGAAGTTTTACTATGCTTATGAAAAACCATGCCACATAGGTACTCAAGATGACTGCAGAGAAATAACTTCTTCAAGACTAAGAGATGGGTCCTCGGATGATATGCACAGGTTAGAGTATTTCTATCTTGTTGACATTTACTTTCAATATACTTTTACAGGTAGATTTTTATCTGGTTAAGTGTGTCACTGTCACCATTTACTTTCTGATATTACCTAATTCTCCCTTCCCACCCCGATTTTACTTTTTCTTTGTTTCGTTTTACTTGTTTTATTGATGAAGTAAATGTACAATACATTTAATGTCCTTATAGTTAAACCCATTCATCACCTTTTTGACATTTTCTTTAGCTGATAAGTGGAAATTTTAACTTTCCTACACCACAAACATTTCGTTTTGTGCTACTGTGTTCGAAATTGACAACTCTTCTGACTAAAGTGTCCAAATTCCCAGTATTTGATTATTATCATGGTACTTTCTCTGGGTAATCAACCCATAAAAATACTGAGATCTGATTCCTATATAATGACATGATATGTCACAATTATATTTTGAAAGTATGTGAAGATATTTTTTTTATTGCTTAATAAATAACAACTTTTATTATGCTATAACATTGATATCTCCCTTGTCCTCCACTGTTTTCATATACATCAGATAGCAGGTATATGTCACATGCACGAGGAGGTGGATGTAATGAGTAGCATAGAATAAGTCTAGCATAAAAATACATCATGGATTTTGTTTCAAGGGTCTTATTCCGATAATTAGCAATGCTGATCAATAGAGGTGCACAGTTTTTCTATAAGCTCTCCTTTTATTTTTATCTTTTCATTTTGCTTACATGCTAAGAACATTATTAGATTATTTAATTGGATTTAATAGTTCTTTTTTTTCTTTTTTTTGTTGGTCTTCAATGAAGTTGAGGTGCAGAGGGATTAACCCAAATGACCATTTTGTCAAATCGGAGCTTGTAAGTTTCTTTAAATTCTGTTGCATGACATGTTTCTCATTCAAGTTTCAACCTTCGGTGATGCATGTTGCTTATTATTTATTAGTCTTTCTTTTGGGGTATTTAAGAGTTTTAAGTTTGCATTACCAAGGTTCTTTTCTCGGTTGGGACTTAATCACTACAAAAACATAGATGATTAGTGGAGGTTATTTAGTGTAGGTCAAAAAAACCTCCACTAAATAAAATAATTTTTGGCAGAATTTAAACCTCCACAATTTATTATTGTTTTCCTTCTTGAAAGGCCAAATTTGTAGTGTT